TCACCTTGTTTCCAATCATTAAAGTTTTTCCTCTTTCATCAAACCTTGGACCATAGTCGTGGTCAATAGTTCTATGTTTTCCACCGGCGTCTCGTATAAACTGGGTCATATATTTTCTAGTTAACGGGTTCTCAAACTGCTCTTCAATGTACTTAGATGCTGTTTGAAAGCCTAATGGAGACGAAACAACCTCTTCCAATTGACTAGTTTCAGCTCTAGGTGTTGATATGGCTTCTGGTTTAAACGGTTGACCAATGTAATCATCATCATCACTCTCATAGTCCATTGGCTCTTCTTTAGAAAGCTGTTCAATTTTAACATCTGTTTTTGGTTCGCCTTTTTTCAGTTCTCTAATTAACGGTTTGTATTGCTGTTCCAACAGTTTTTCACTCTCCACACTACCATCTTTAAACTGTCTAAATTTACGCCTAACTGCTTCTTTCAACTCTGCTATTTGCAGAGTGAGATGTTTATTCTTCCGCGTCATCTTTGATAATGAGCCTAAAACACCACAGCTAGCCTCTTAAGGCAATTCAATCTGCCGAAAAAATAGTGCACGTTTCTTATGTTTACGTAGGTAGTGCACTACTTCTTTCAAAGATATGCCCGAGGTAATATCTATATCTCGGTAGTATCTCTTTGTCACTAGATCAAATTGCGGAATAGTGTACCTTTTTGACCAATTTCGAAAAACAAACGTTCTTTTCCAATTATCTCTCCATTGTGGTATTTCCGCTATGGTATACCGCTCACTAACGTCACTTTTTTCCATATACCTCTGCAAAAAAGACATTGGACGCTTCATCTCATTGTGGTGTAACAAAAACGAGTTCAATAACCAAAATTCACTTGGATTCGCTCCAGTGAACTCACGCCACTGGTCAAACAGTTGACGATCAGTTATCGTATACACACCATTATTGAAACTTATTCCAAAACTTTCGCTATATTGTTGTAAAGTTGGCAACGCAGCCTTTAGAAATTCTGTTGTAAACAGTCCTTGGCACAAGTTGTTTACCCCAGCATAAGGCTTACCACGAGATCTCGGTAATCCCGGAGGTACCGGACCATATGCTACATTATAACTCACATCAATATGGCATTTTGACGCCATCGCAGTTTTATAAATCGTCAGAGGTGATCTTATTGGTAGAGTCCGTTCAGTCAATACTATACATCTTGCTGCATGGGGAATATTGCAACCATATTCGAGCATTCGGAGGTAAATCTGGGTAAAGTTTATGCTACCATGAAGGTTGCGCAATGGTAAAACCTTACCAAAAATATCCGGAAACGGTCTAAATCTCGAAATAATATTATGGGACTAACTAACTGTGCAGTTGTTCATATCTTCGTGATAGACCACCAGTTCAAGTGGAACTTTCTTTTCTTCGCATTTTTCCAAAAATCTAATCCAAATTTCACGGTTGTATGTACGTTCACTCGCAGATATCATTAACAAGATAACCGGGGGTAGTACAGCGCTCTGTTTTGGCACTTTATGTCTCCAACACCGCCTATTGTACTTGTGACCATGACGTCCTTTTCTGCTACAGTAGTTTCCACAAAACTTTTTCTTATCGTAATAGTAATATGTGCAAAGATTAGATTTAACATTATGAAGTTTGGTATCGTAACCTCTAAGGTCGTTGTAGGTGTAGATGTTAACCATTATAACTCCTCAATGAAACTGTCAAATCCTATACGGTATCTTCCTTTATTAGTGTCCCGAGTCTTGTCGATAACTAAGAACCCATGATTGTCTTTCCACGCCAGTGAACACAACTGTTTGAATTTATCAAATGGCATGTCGGTAGTGACATGGTCGCTATATACATGTCGTAAATTCATATCATCCTGTTTGAATAGTATTAAAAGGTTTGCGTTGTCTCTAATAAGCTGCTTTGGTATAGCACTATACGTCTGACCCAAATAAAAGGTGTCAATATTGTTATGCCTACCCATAGTGAAATAGTTTGTAATGTTGTTGTGTTTCTCACAGGATATATCGTCAAATATCATTATTGAATGTTGTTTAGCCTTATTTGGATGAACTACCAAATTGTTGTCACCATATGCAAAATAACCAATTTCCTTAGGTAGAGCCAATGGTAAAAACTGGTATTTGGGCTGATTCAGGGATTTACAGAAAATGTAGATATTTTCAAAAACAAGACCATTTGGATCGAATAATAAATTAAACACAACATTTGTTTTACCCGAGTTGCTAGGGCCTGAAAGGATCCCGCGAATTGAGTCTGGTAGCAGATGGCCATGTTTATTTTTAGATGCCAGACCCTCGCCGAGATACTCGTCATAGTTTTTTACTGTCAAAGGGGGACTCTGCTGTGCCACACGCATCGTGTTCAACTGATTGTAGCACACTCACCCTATCGTTTATAAATACGCCCGGATGCAGCTGCTTGATCTACACGTAACCGTCACCGGATGCTCTAAATAAGAATGTCGCTTTTACTAAGCCACGTGTCGCTTTTCTTGTCAAAGCCAAGCCATCTGACTTTTATTTTATCGCCTTTCCGCTGTAACACTCTTTCAACTAAATATACATTTCCGGTCTTTGATTTATTTAGCTCCTGTTCATAAAACCCTCCCTTTAGTATTTCACCGTTATGGTCTTTGAGTACATATGTAGGTGGTTTTGTCGGTTTGATGGCGTAAATGGTGAAAACCTCGTTTGTCCAGTTTGGCAGATAGCCTTTAGTAAAAACTCTTTTATACTTGCTAATCCTAACACTATCCCCCAGTTTAAATTTTGGTGCCACCCTTTTTCCCTTCTTGTTTATCCTTTTTAATATTTCCTTTACATTCTTTTGTTTCACATCTTTTGGTTTCATACCAATTGTTTTATGTACCGAGTTATTATATCGTTTGAGAATATCAGGAAGTAATGACAACCATTCATATGTACCCTTTGCGGTAAACTCTTTCCACATCCACTGTTTCGAAGTTCTGTTATATCTTTCCACGATACTAGCTTTTAAATCAGAAAACGTAGAATAATGGTTAATTTTATACTTTTTCATGAGAGCACTAATATGTTTATTAAACCATTCGGTTCCTTGATCGGTTTGAAAGTGTTTCATCTTATGTTTTATCAAAATAGGTTCAAGTGCCTTGGCAACTGCCGGACCTGTCTTATCTTTTAATGGGACTGCAAAACCGAGTTTTGAAAAACAATTGATCATAGTCATGATGTACCGATTACCTTTATTTAGCTTTGCATAAGGCTGCATCTCTACGAGATCGGCCTGGTACAAATCATTCAACCCTTTAAGAGTCACTTTCCGTCTAGTGTAATTTTTTCTAGCAGGTTTGTGTAGCTCTTCAGCTATAGCACGTCTGACATCCATTGTTAAAATGATACAACTTGACAGTGTATTGATAATTTATTAAGTTTTTATAAATGCTGCGGCCCCTCCACCGCCGCAGCTCGTGATGGCCTCCAAAAACAAACTAGCTGCCACCTCCGTTTATTTTTTTTTGTTTTACAAACATTTAGTTTTTACAATATTTACAAGTGACTTTATGGAAGATAAATAACGGAGTCATGCAAATGCGGCATGTTTCTTTGGGGACTTTAAACTTTGGATACATGTAGTTACCTCTTCGCTTTAAGCGAGAAGGAAGATCAACCATTCTTCCACAGTCAATACATAACCTACTAGAGCCTCTAAAAGACTCGTAGTAGTTTAGGGTTACGTAACCACAGTTTTCTCTATGACAGTTCAAAATGTCCTGCCTTAGCGTTGATGGAAGATCAACACTTTCTTTTACATAAGGGAAAAGGATAACATTTGTGCAAATTTCCCTAATTGAAAGCTCAGACAAGGACAACATGATGGCAAGAAGGTTCCAAATAGAATAGTCTTTTTATTTGCCCCCCAGAAAAGCTGCGGCCCCTCCACCGCCGCAGCTCGTGACGGCCTCCAAAAACAAACTAGTTGCCGTCTCCGTTCCCCAAAATGTTTCTTACCACCTTCTCAAGGATGGGATCAAAGATTGTAGACAGGAACATCTCCTCAATCTGGTCCAATTGTATAGACGTGCTGCACAGATGGTGCATCTATCTCTCGGAGTCTTAAATTTTGCTACACATACAATTGTTCCAAACCGTCGAAAAGAAATATTCGCTGCCTCTCCACAATCCTTACAAAACTCTTCATTGTCGAGAAAACAAATATGGTAGTAGACATAGCCACAGTTTTCATGGCGGTAATTGAATATGTAATCTTTAATCACAGGTGGGATTGCTGCTTGCTTTACAGCACTTAAAAGAAACATGTTATCAGTAATTGTTCTAGCTGAGAGCTCAAGTAGGAACAACATGGTGGCGAGAAGGTTCCAAGTGGAATGACACTCACCCCTCCACACATGGTTTACGGGCTTTTTAGTCAGCCACGCCAGTGACCTTTATACATGGTTTACAGGCTTTTTAGTCAGCCGTGCCAGTGACCTTCACACATGGTTTACGGGCTTTTTAGTCAGCCGCGCCAGTGACCATCATTCACACATGCACAAGGAGTAGCTCAAGTCCTTCCAGATTTGAACGCCTCAATGTACAAACACATTCAAAAATAGCCCAACTCCAGTTGGATCTCAGCCACCATGTGTTTCGCATCGTGTTTCGGCTGGATATTCTCCATCAAGCGCGACGAGCCGTCGCCGTTTATCGTCAAGACTAGGGTGGTATTTCTTAGGCCGGTGGAGCCAATCTACGAAGAACTTCGACCCTTGGATCTCAGGCCACCACCGTTACCACCGAGAAACACAGAATATGCCACCATAAAGGTATGTAGTGATAGTGGAGAGGGGAGCGCAACACATGTGCAGCATGTGCAACATGTGTTCAGTGTCCAACATGATCTCTCTGATGCTGGTCGTTCATGATTTTGTTCAACATTATTTATATCACAGGATATGTGAATTTTTAAATTTGATTGAAGAAGACAACGATTCAGACACAGATTCGGAATTTGGGGTCAATTGGGGACCGGGAGGGTGGAACGGGTGGAACGAGGTGGATATTGGGGACTGGGAGGAGTTGAGTGACAGTGATAGTAGTGATTCAGGAGTTGAGATTTTGGTGAGTTTTTTTTAATTTTAAACCCATATGGAAGTGTATCATAATTGCTACCATGTTTCCTTTTTGGTCCAGTAATTTTAAACTGTTTGACTTCACTGATTGTAACTATATTCCTATCCTTTGTTCGTCTGATTCTATTTTCCTCAATGTCCATTGTTTGTGCAGCATCACCAAGGACCATCTCTTTCAAACTGTCAAATCCAATCTTTTTAGAAGTTTTCATGTTTAATGTAAGCCCTTTTACTTTACAAACGGGAATCAATTTTTGTTTGTTTGTTGACCACACGAGGTATGCATAGGTTTTTGGCCCTCCAGATACAAACTCTGTTATGTATGAACCTGGTCCATACTCAGTTAACTCATCGGTCATTTCCCCTAGATAATCTCCCGTGGGAACTCTATACAAACCACCCTTATATACATACAATACAGAATCAGTATCATAATACAACACTTGACCACCCAAAGCATCTAGATGCTCATAGAGCTTCAATCTCGCTTGGGCAGTAGTGTAAGCTGCCACCACGACATTTACATTTTGCAATGGCTCCCCAACCTCATCAATGTACTCCCAGCTGACAACAAGAACCTCATCATTGACAATCTGTACTCTATTTACATCTATTTCGGGGCTAGTTAACATTTTGAAAAGTGTTTTTGGGTCCCTGACAATTGTAGCTTTAGTCTGATTTTCACGCTGTCCAAATTTTCCCCAAAACGAGTTCAACATCAGTTTAGCCAACGACCTCAAACCACCATTCTTGATAATTTTGTCTTTTTCCAATTGGACACCCTCTTTTTTAAAATAATCCTCAATGTACTTGTTTTTGTCCTCGTCTGTTTCACACCAACTAGGGAACCCAGACGCTTCCTGTTTCATTTTTAAAAATTTATTTATAAAGTCAGTGAACAACCCACCGTTTTCATATGTGGCTACCTTATACTCCCAAAGTTCATACATGTCGAGTACAACATAGCCCTTTTCTACAGCTTTACGAACTTCGTCCATAGTCCAGGTCCCAATTAGTGCTCTGTCACCACTTTCGTGGTCGCAATCACTTTGAATCTGACCATCTCCACAAGTCGCACACAAAACAAACATTAACTTGTCATTCATTTTGGCCGGGAGCACAGGATGGTAAAGATCGCGTGGTGGGAGTACTTTACACTTTAATAGGCCTTCAACATTAAGACCTCTCTGTCTACACTCTCTATCACCTACATAGATTGTCGGATGGCCTACAGGGTATTTACCGTATTTACATACCCAAGGATAGAGAGAGCATACATCCACGTATTCAATGGTTTCCCCTTCAGCACATTTGTGATACGTTTTGGCATTCCCGGTTCGACCCCCAAAAAATGCTTGCCTCGGATTCAGAGGTAAATTGTTGAGGATCGGCAACTTGTCTAGATGTTTTAGGTTTTCTGTCTTTTTTAACTTTCTAAATTCACATTCCCACATTTGTACGACGTTATCGCCCAACTTTGCTATTTTCGATTTAGTCCGTTCATACCGCAAGTGAAGTGAGTCAGAGGGATCCTCTTTCAAAGCAAGTTCACGGTCGTAGGGAAAGCATTTGGGACAGCCATGGAAGTAGCAGCCTTGAAATTCGTAAATATTTTGACCATCATACCCATCAACTTTCATTCCATTGATCTTAACTTCTTTTCCACGGCCAGCGTGTTCAATTCTAACTCCACGTTTCTCCTCTTCCCACGATAGCCACTGTAACGCGATTGCCGATTGAGCGTCTGTAAGCCTATAACCGTTTTTAGGAACGATGCCGATAGTATTTTTCTTCAAAAAGTTCCTGCGAAAAGCTAAATTGCATGCGCTGGCAATGGTTACAGCCTCGAGAAAGGGATCAACATTACACTCTTGCAGGAAAATTGAACGGAACTTTAAACAAGCTTGGGCCAAGATTTCAACGTCCGAGATACAGTACTCGAGGATTTCTTTCTTAAAGTCAAATGTAACATTGTTTGAAACCTGATCATTATACCAGTTTTCAAAATCTTTGTGTGATTTTTCAAACATAGATTATGGACAGTAAAACTTCTTTGCTGGCATAGGGCCCACATAATTTTGATTCTCAAGGGTGTTGAAAAGGTGGGGGAAATAGCCTTTCTTCTTTTCCGGAGGCAGGTCAAAGGCTTTAGGTAGTGCAGCTAGAGACATGGGGAAATAACTAAGTGAATCAACAAACCTCACATTGTCAATCTCCATCAAAATTACCTTAGTTCCCCGCATTACAAGTTTCGGAGTGAACTTTGTATCCTCCAGCACATACTTTAACAAAAATTGAAAATCAAAGCCCTGCCCATTGTGTGCAATGACACAGACATCTTTGAAATTTTTACGGACTTGCATCACATAGTCCATAAACTGATCGACTGGGTTAGATTTAAAGACTCTTGTTCGATTTTTACAAGCTATACAAAATTTAGCCTCATTACACTGATAGCAAAACTGTTGTGACACACACAAGTTTACTTTATGGACCTTAGCATCAGTATTTGAGGGCAGAGACTCATCTTGGCGGGTTTCCAAGTCGAAGAAAATAAACAGAAAATCTTTTGACTTGGGCTTTCTCGTGTCAGGTTTCATATGGCATTTGTGGTTAGGGTCTTCAAATGAACTGCAAGGTTTACAATATACTTCACCACATTTATGAGGCTTAGACCGTTCTTTAATCCAGACCAATTTCCCACAATCGAGACATTTCTTTACATTTTTACATTTGTCAGCTTGATGCGCGATAAAACATTCCTGGTTTCGATAGGTCATGTTACATTTAAGGCACAGAATACCTCCATGCTCCTCTACACAGGGAGGTGAAATAGTTTGGCACTGTGGGCAAATGTTTGAGCAGCGATGCTCTCCTTTGTGATCATAGGGTACATGACAAGCTTCACAGAAATAATTACAAACAAAAGCAGCAGTCAAACAATTAATCACATTGTAATGTCCATTGTGAAACAACAAGTTAATTTTGAACTTGGGGTTCTCTACATTTCCCTCAAAGTACACATCACGTCCTTTCCTGTCATAGTTGTACACGACAATTTTGTAGTCCCTCAAAAACCCCTGGAATTTTTCAAGTTCCGGGATGCCAGCTCCACCCTCTGGCATTTCAACCCTAGCTCGACGCACAAGTTCCTGAGCCCTAACTGTTTGCCTATTTGCCCTATTCTTTCTAACTGCATTATAGTCAGGATCTTTAGTTACATTGGCCATAGCCACTACAATTGCACGGGGAAGACACAATTTATCTTTATTATTTATAACAACAATTCCCCGTCTTGCCTTGCATTCCTCATCAAACGTATTGTAAAACCCTGGCCTTACCCTTCCAGAACCTACAGGAAGGTTAATTCTAGTGCATTCCACTTTAAAGGTGTCGGTAGATTTTATGGATTCAGAGTTTGATTGCACAATACCGCCAAAGATTTGCCACAAAACGTTTTCATCAATTTCAGTATATATTTCAATAATTTCAGTAGCCGGACGAAAATTTACATAGCCGGGTGCTTTTGATTTCAAGTTGAGACTCTCCAAAGTAAACCCAAGTTGATCATTTTCAAAAGCTTGTTCTTTCATACTATTTACAATTTGTGCAAACCCCTGTCTCAACCAATCAATCTCATTAGTCTCTGGAGGCGGATTGGTGAATTTAAATACAGTTTTACTCCCATACAATCTAAATTTATTTACATAAGTTTGACCAGTACTAATCAAATTAACAGGCTCAACTACTTTTACGGGTTCAACTACTTCATCGGATACGTTATCAGCCATACTAACATCCATCGTCGTCAAACGCCTAGAGCAAAGTAAAAGGGACGCTGAGACACAAGATCTAGAGGGGGCACAGTCTGCGCGCGCACACAGCTAAATATAGCACACCAATTGCCCAACACTGAGACACAAGATGTGGCGGGGACACAGCTGCGCGCACACAAAGCTGAATATAGCACACCGATTGCACAATACGTTACAATAAAGAAACAAAGTTCACTTACCACTGATATACCGTAAATAATCAAGCTAAAATTTAACACCAGAAATAACTTTCAAACATAACCTCAAAACATCAAACACAAGAGCACACGTCCAACACGTTCAATTGCCAAGAGCAAAGTGAAAGAAAATAAGTACTGAAAAGTTTAAATAGCAAAAATTGGCGAATCACACAACAGATCACCTATTTATGACCAATCAGGTACAAGCTTATTACAACCAATCAGCAACCAGGATACACACCATTAACACTTCCTTGTTTTGTTACAGAACCATGAAGATGAAGAAGAAGAAGAAGAAGAAGTTTAGTTTAGTGTTTGTAAATATTTTTATAAGAATGTAAATATAAATCATAGATATAGTAGCATTAAAACATATTTTAGACCAAACAATCTGTGTAATTATTCAGGACACAGCTTTGTGGAGGTTATTCAGTCATTATTCAGTGGAGGTTATTTCATTTGGCAAGAGTTAATCATTACGGAGGTTATATAAGTTGGCGGGAACCTACGCAATACGTAAAGTGAGGCTTGGCGGGAAGGTGAGACTACGTTGTTTGGCGGGAATCAGCGGAGAAGAAGTAAGGTTTTTTTCGTTTAGCGCGAAAGTCACTTGGCGGGAAGGTGATTTTTTCGTTTGGCGCGAAAATAAAAGTGAGGTTATGTTACTTGGCGGGAAGGTGATTTTTTTCGTTTGGCGCGAAAATAAATGTGAGGTTATGTTACTTGGCGGGAAGGTGAAGTTTTTTTCGTTTGGCGCGAAAGTGAGGTTATATTACTTGGCGGGAAGGTGAAGTTTTTTTCGTTTGGCGGGAACCTACGTATGCAATACGTAAAGTGAGGTTAGATGTTTGGCGCGAAAACAAAAGTGAGGTTAGACCACGTTGGACACCAGAGGGCGACCACGTGGGATGTTTGGCGCGAAAACATAAGTGAGGTTAGACCACGTGGGACACCAGAGGGCGACCACGTGGGATGTTTGGCGCGAAAACATAAGTGAGGTTAGACCACGTGGGACACCAGAGGGCGACCACGTGGGACAAAAGGGGGCGTGGCCTAGGGGGAGGGGTGGGGATGAAATGCTGCTCTCTGATTGGTGGCCGCAAGAGCTGGGTATCCTACTGATAATGTGTCAGAAATAAAATTTTTGTATGTTTCTTAAGGTTTATAAATATATGTATTTGGTTGGTCATCTGAAATACCACTGATGTAGTGTGGGCGTGTCGGCAAAGACAGTGCATGCAGGCTTCTTAGCATCTGCGCAACTCCGCCCGTCGATGCATAAGGACCGGCACCGCTAAGTTCTCAACTGTCTCATACAAATCCTAAGACTTCCTAATTTGTAGCCTAATTTACTACCAATGAATCAGTTTCCAAGCTAAACCATGACTAAATGAAGCATCTCGCTGTCAGGTAAAAGTTTTCGTCAACCCACTAATCCTTGATACAAACTGCGTCCTATTATTGATATGTCCCTCGCTTCACGCTTCCCACTAGCAAGGGTTACCTTTCTGCTCTGCCATAGTTGTAAGCCTGAGTTAAAATAATATCACGAACAACGTAGAAAACTGTCGGTAATATTTATGAGCCATTTTTAATTATGATAATGAATACTAATTAAAACCAGTCAATGTTAAAACTAACTTTTTTATTAAGTATTTATAGAGGAGATTTTAAAACACTTAATAAGCGCCTTCATCTTTATTAGCGATGTTAAACGTTTGCATAATGTCTACCACTAACCAATTAAGAACTATTATGCTGACCTCTTTTTAAGATAACATGACAACAATCAAATATTAGAGAACAGAACGTCACCAAGATTATGAAAAAACCCAACTTGATTGACACCTCTTCACAATATGTTAAGAAAGTAGATTTGAATAATTTGCCTGTATGTATCCCGTAAACAGTCTTGCCTGCATGTATGGGGACACAAATACAGTGTTTTACTTACTTATTTATAACTTTTGGATGTATGCCTTATTACATTAATTAATTGGAAAGTAAATAAAAAAATACGTCTAATAGCCTAACACTTAAAACATAAATTTACACTTATAATGTTACTCACAATACTGTAAATATACATAAAAGATGGTAAGTGGTGGTAGATTTCGATTCGACACTGCAATCATCCTCAGACCCATAGGCGAATTGGGTCATCTCATCATTGGGTTCAGTATGTTTCTTACCCAGCTTTATGTAATGTTATATATGTATCCATGTATATTATTGCCAATAGTTGTAGCCGTTGACAGAAATAATTAAATAAATTATTATTTCAAATGAGAAACGAGTTAAAACTAACAATAAATTTAAGAAATGTACAAATGATTAGGTTTAATTTAATTATTATTTTTTTTAAGTTTACTGTTTAGATCTTTACTGACTGCGAGGCGCAGTTAGTATAAATCTTGCGGAACAAAGCGAATCCCATTGGTGGTAGATAATGGCACATTGTAACGTAAGGAAGAGCAAAGAGTATAATTATAGTGATTTTTAAAGTGTTTATTAGGCCTAGTGTTCTATACCTCAATCTATCAAGCTTCCGTTGGTGAAATATGAAGAAATCAAGTATTACAAGTATTGCAAGTATAACAAGTAAGTAGGTAGAGATTAATTTACCTGAACCAAAACTGGTTATAAAAAAGTAAATTATTGGATTCCATCTAAATAATAATTGTTTTTGCAGTTCACGGTTAAGCTTGGATAGATTGTTTTGGTAGTAAAGTACAAAGTACAACGCCTTAACATTATTTGTATACAACCTTTGAGAACTTAGCGATGTCGGTGCCTACGACGCGACGCATCGACGGGTGGGGCTGGGCTGCGCAGATGCTTTGAAGAAACCTGCACGCGCTCTCTTTGCCGACGCACCACACTACATCAGTTCGTTCAGACGACTAACCAAATATATATTTATAAACCTTAAGAAACCAACACAAAATTTTTATTTGAAACCTTTTGCGCATTTTATTTGGAAAACATATATAGAGGGTAAAACAAAATTGTGTACTCTAAAACATAAACATTAAAAAAAAAAAAGTTAAACTGCTATATCTCTTTGGACATAGTTTTATAAGAAAACCTTTAGTACAAAAGTTGAAGATAAACTAATTACAAATAATACCAATCAAATTTCACTACGATGGCATGCGTAGAATTTGAATTATGTCCAGTAAAGTGAACGACTGTAATTTCCAGGTTTGGAGGGGGCTGGGGGAAAAGCTCAAGGTGGAGAATCGTAAACTTTTTGAAAATACACGTCTTAAGTGGTTTCATCACATATAACAAACTCAGCTTTCCACTATTTAGCTACGAAAAAAAGCAGTTTGTGCATTTATTGGCTGGGCTAGATGCGATGACGCAGCGCAGAGGTGTTCAACTAGCCCGCACGCGCTCTCTTTGCCGACGCTCAGCTCTTCACCCGGTCACCTAGATGACTAACCAATAATATATTTGTAAGCCTTGAAAAACGTACTAAAACTTTTGTTTGAACCATATTTGCGTATTATTTCTAATTAAAAGTATACATAGAGAAAAACAAAATTTTGCACTCTGAAACAACGCTTTTAACGAAGTTTAAATTGTATATCTCCCTAAGTATTGGTTTTAGAAAAATGTTGTAAATACAAAAGTTGTAGAGAAGCTAATCAGAAATAAAACAAAACAAATTGCAGCTCGATAGCTTACATAGCATTCGAAATATGACCAATTAAGTAAAACACTGCAATTTCTATGTTTGGAGGGGGGTGGGGGGGAAAGCTCAAGGGGTAGAAGTGGGGACTTTTGGGAAAATACACCTCTCATGTGGTTCTATCACATATAAAAAATCCAGCTTTCCACCATTTAGTTGCGATAAAAAACATTTATTGACTGGGCTAATGGTTATTCGAAAGTATAATTTAAAATACAATAAATTCTTTTCAAAATAAAATTTAGATTATTTTCATGTTTCAAATTTTGAAAATTGTGCAAAAAAATGCACATTTTAAAGTACGTAATTGTTTCAATCATAACTTCAAACACTTAGATATAAATAAGTCTCGGAACCGCTTAGTTAACCTTTGGCAATAGTATTCACTGAGAGTTTTTTTACATCAGTACCTACTGTCCACCAGAGACACACATGGCCGTATGAGATCGTACTGGGTGGATTACATGACTCAATCACCTGCTGTCTACTTACTGAGCCATTGCAGTAAACTACACTCA